TCAAAAACTGAAAGAAAAAAGTCTTAAAACTCAAGCCCAAATTTTTTGTATGATAATTATTAGATTCTACAGAAATAAAATGACCCTGCCAAATTTGCTATCAACATTCCTAAATGCTTATTCCCAATTTCTGATAATATCACTGAAAACAGTACAGTTCGTAGAACCCACTGGTCTGCAGAGCACATGTTGACTAGCACGGTTTCAGAGTAAGAAGGATTAAGAAATATGAAGGCTTTTATGACACTGAAAACTTATATAACTGAAAAAAAAATTACAGACAAAATTGGCCCAAAAAAACAGGTAAAAACTTCTTGCTATCTTTCCCGCTCTGCAAAAATATCAGTGGTTCCTTTTTCTGTAGGCATAAAAATCAGGGTTTATTTCTTTTTTCCTTTCTTTCAGTCTATCAGTGATAGACATTTAGGTTATTTGAAAGGTGCCTAGCTCCCAGACTTAGTAATTTTAAGTGAAATGCTTTCCGTTATAGCAAATAGGAACTCAATTATTTTATATTGACATATGTAGTTTACTGCCTTTCTCTCTTATTATCATCTAGATACTGGAAAGCAGCTAGTTATTTTCAATTATTTAGCAACCTGCAATAAACATGATTTAGAACCAAAACTCCAAGTATATTTTAAAGCACATCTAATTTTCTAAAGAATGGGTCTTTGCTGTATTGCAGATGATTCAAAGTTTTAGAAATTCATCTCAGCCCTTTAAAGAAGTTTCTAGTTTAACCAGAAATACTTTTTCAGTGGTAAGAGTCCAATCCTGATGAATGTCAATATATGTACACCATTCTTCTAGGTTGCTGCGGCAGCTGTTAGTTAAAAAAAGTAGTTGTTTAAAAATGACTGGAAGAAAAAGAAATGATTGTTGTATTTTCTCTCAAATAAAGAAAAATATATGTACTATATTTAAAGTGAAGCTGTTTTCCAAGTAGTGTTTTAAAATGTGGATGGCAAATCTGCCTGAGTTTTGGCAAAACACACTATTTTATTTTTGCAAGGCTCAACTGCCTTTTGAAATTAATAGTAATTTTCTGAAATAAATAAAAAGACCTTTGCAAATAAGAGGTTTTTTTTTTTTTTTAAATCTTGCCAATTAACATTTCTGTAGCACTGATTAAGGTACAAAATTTCTCACATTCACAATCTAGTTAGGAGCAAACTAGTTAGGCAGTTAAAACAAATATCATCACATTAAACCCCAATGAGCCAGAGGAAGAACCATTGTTTAGAGAACTCAACTGTGTTTTTGAACTCTAAATCCCATGATGTTTTATTTTACACACCAATTCATGAATATTTATTTAGTTTTTTATTTGTATTTATTTATTTTCTGGTAAAGGGTCTATCTCTGTTGCCCAAGATGGTCTCAAACACCTGAGTGATCCTCCCACCTCAGCATCCCAAAGTGCTAGGATTACAGATTACACGTGTTAGCCACTAAGGCCAGCCGGCAATTTATTTCTTAAATAGCATTTGTATTTGATTATTCTAAGTACCTGTAACTAAAATAGTCTCAGGTCAGTAGGCACAAAAAAAAAAAAAAAGGAAAAAAATCTTTCTTTTTGCTCAACCATTATTAGGAAAAAATGGATTTTATGTTAATAAGGGAAAAATGAAATACAGAATCCCTGAAGAGTGTGTGTGTGTGTGTGTGTGTGTGTGTGTAAGGCATGGTTAGTTCAGTTGTCTAAGAGTATATTTTCGCGTAGGTTGTCATCACAATAAAAATTCTGTGTTCACTAAAGTCATACTCATCCATGTGTATATCTTTTTTTTTACAAAGAAACCTTCTAAATGCATCATTGGCTCAGAATTCAGACTCCACTCTCAATTTTCAAATTGTTTGTTTGTTTGTTGATTTGTTTGTTTTTGAAAGTCAAAGCCCATTAGTGAAAAAAAGTTGAGATCCCATTCCCAAAGAGACTTTGAGATCCTATAACTTTGGGCATAAAAAGAGACATCTTTTCATCTAAAAAAGAAAATAAATTAGACATTTAAGTTTTCCCAGCATACTGCCTGTCCTTAACTATTTTCTATCACTATTTCATTTACTGTAGTCTTTTCTTATTTCTTCAATAAAAATAAAGGCCCACTGATTACATCTGCTGCTTGTCATGCCGTTAGTTACTAAATATTTGTTGACTGAGAATCATTAAATGAACGTTATCACAAGGATATGGAGAAATTTTAAATGATGCAATACATCTTTATACAGAGTGGAATTTTAAAAATCAATGTAAATTGGGAAAAAAAAGTTAAAAGAGGACATTTTTGCAATAAAAATATGGGCCAGGTAATTTTAGTTTTCTATTTACACAATATTTTTTAAATTACTAGACTTTTAACATTTAAGCATTAAGTCCAAGAACATACAATTTTTAAATGCAATTCTACAAACACATACAGCACAACTTTCAATAATGAGCAATAGTCATTATGACAGTTCACAAATCTAGTTTTCATATAGTCTCTTTTCTATATTTTTATATTTATAGAAACTGTTAAGTGGGTTTCATCATAAATGTGGGGGTAGGGAGACCAAATGCAACTATCAGATATTAATGGTAGTTCTTATAGTAGTTGGGTATCTTTACATAAAAATTTAACTTAAACATTCTCAATATCCTCAACCTCTACATGGAATTTTAAAAAAGAAAACTAGTAAAATAGAATGCCTTGATTATAGGCAGATTTCTAAGTGGTCTAGTAACAAAAAGTCAAGGCAGTGACGTAGAGAAGATGGGGAATTACCTGTGTTTATGTGAAAGAAAAAAATTATTAATAACAAACATTATTTAAGTGAGTAGTCTCTTACCCTCAAAATACATTGAATAATTACCACCAGATCAAGCTAATCTGAATTATTAGATCTCGTGGTCTTTTACAAAAGTGTCCATGAAATTTTCCAACAACTTCCCAGACACTTCTAATTTTTGGGACTACACCATGAATTATTTTCAGTCCTTAGACCTGTACTTTCCAGTAAAGAAGCCAGTAGCTACCAGAGGTGATAGAGCACTTGAAATGAGGCTAGTGCAACTTAGAAACTGAATTTTATATTCTATTTCATCTTAATTAATTTATTAAATTTAAATTTTAAAAGTGTTATTCAAGTCAGTTACTGGAAACCTCTTAATTTTGTTTGGGAAAAAACTGGGTATATGAACATACTTTTAAACTGAAAATTTTATTAAACTTTAAATTAAGTGCAGTCCGCCCTCAGGTTGCACATCTACTGATTCAACCAATCTTAGATTGAAACTATTTGAAAAAGAAAAATGGATGGTTGCATCTGCACTGAACACTGAAACAGCCTTTTTTTCTTATTATTATTCCATAAACAATATAGTATAACAAGTATTTATACAACATTTACATTGTATTAGGTACTGTAAATAATCTAGACATAATTGAAAGTATAAGAGAACATGCATCTAGGTTATATGCAAATACTACATCATTTTACACAAGAGATTTAAGCATCCTTGGATTTTGGTATCCACGAGAAGTTGTAGAACAAGTCCCCTAATGATACTGAAAGATTACTGTATTTGCAATGAAAACTTACTATCTGAATTAAGACTTGCTGTACCCAGATTTCAAAGATGTGGTATAATAAAACAATAAAAATCTCATCAATAAAATTTACATTGATTAAATATTAAAAAGATAATATTTTTATATCCTAGGTAAATATAATTTATTATTATTAAATTTTATTATACTGTTCTCCTTTCACTTTTTTAATATTGTTACTAAAATTTCTGAATCACGTAAGTTGCTTGCATTTTATTTCTGTGGGACAGTGCTGTCTTAGACAATGCATATTAATGTAAAACCCAAAGTTTTGTTAAGTCAAATTCCTTTAAGAATAATTTACATTGCATCAAAATTTGTTCTATATACATGTACAGTTCTATAAATTTTGATTAATTCATACAGTCAGGTAACTAGCACCACAATCATGATATGAAACATTTTCACCATCCCCAAAAGTTCCCTCATGTCCCTTTGTAATCAACCTTTACCCACCACCCCAACCCCTGACAACAATGATCTGTTTTCTGTCCCTACAGTTTTGCTGTTTCTAAAATGCCATAAAAGTTTAATAATACAGCATATAGACTTTTGAACCCAGTGAAATCAAATTTTAAATATTATACCATTCTATGGTATTAAAGGATTATGATCATTTTGATATTCCTTTTCCTTGTATCAAGAACCTTTACCAAGGCCTGTTTTTTTCCAGTTATTCCACTTTCAAAACTGAACTTTCTTCCTTGTCATCATTCTAGTAATGTATTTACCCTTCAAGAATAAAGCCTAGTAGATTGTATTACAGTTATTTACATTACAGTCCCTCCTCCCACCAGACTCTAAGCTAGAAACCTGACGTTGTTTTCCATAGCATTAACTCTGTCTAGTGGAGTTAACAGTACAAATGATGAGGCTGAGAAGAGATTTCCCATTGTGTTCTAAAACAAGGTAAAGGAAAAAAAGAAATGAGTGATGGAGGTTACTCACCAGATTAGCTATCTCCGAAATTTTATTGAAGTCTCCAAAAAGAGTATAAGGCTATACAGAGGATCCAAGAACTATGATTCCAGCCAGCCAGGTGTGAATGCTAGTGGAGCTTTAACTATGCCAGTATTTTTACCTGGATTGCTACTTGTTTTGTCATAGCTTGCTAACAAAGTTGAGTAAATTTGGAGTTGTCTTCCTAATAGCATTTTTCTCGTAAACCTTGTTATTTCTAGTACATGATTTTACAGAACAGAAAGTCAAGAATACACGTATCACATTATAACAGAAACAGCTGCACCACACAAAGAGCTTAATAAATTAGAAGGTTCTATCTGAAAAGTCTGATATTTATTTGTAATCATTAATGTCCGTATGGTTAAATATATGAAATATAAGAAATATATGTATTAAATAGTTAATAAGATATCACTATTTAGTTCAATGCTTTCAAGTACTTACTAAAATCTCCAGTAAGAAAAACTCCTTCTGCTCCCGGGGCCCATTCTTTGCAGTATAAACCACCATCAGCACATCTGTGGACGCCAAATGATTCATAGCCTCTGGAAAACTTATCAATACCACCTTCGTTTTCTCCAATGTTGTTCAAAATTTGGCTAAACTGTTTATACCTTTGAAGAAGTGTGAAAGAAAATAAGTTAGAAAATTAAATAGTCTTCTAGAAAAGCTACTGTAATTAACTGCTTTAGTCTTACTTAGGGAAAAAAAGGACATTATTAAAGAGGAATAATATAAATAATTTCATTTATTAGTAGAGGTTACCTGGTAGGATAAAATCACTCTTATTTAAAATAAACTGAGCTAATCTAACTAGCATTTTTGGTAACTTCAAGCACTGGTATGAGAGACAAAACATGATGGTTATACTATTTCATGAATTTTTAAAAAACTAGCATTATAGCAAATTCCATGTCAAGACAGTGTAATGAAACAGAATCTCTACATCTCTCTCCTCTGATTCCTAAGGAAATGAAATAACACAGTCAAAATTCAGCAAGAAAAAAAAAATTAGCCTACTGCAGGGTTTGGCAAACTTTTCCTGTTAAGGGGCAGACGGCAAATATTTTAGGCTTTGTCAGCCATATGGTCTCTGTCACAGCTACTCAAGGATGTCTCTGAAGTATGAAAGGGGCCATGGACAAAAAGTTAATGAGTGGGTGTGGCTGTGTTCCAGTAACACTTTATTTACAAAAACAGGTGGTGGGCCAGATTTGGCCTGCAGCCTTTTCCTTCCCTAAAGCAACTAAGCATGGCAAGAACATACATCATATCAAAGTACAAAAGCCAGTGGCCACAAGAAGAAATCACAGATTCCTAAGCAGGACCAAGAACAGCGCATGCCTGCTCCTGATCCTTTCCCAGTTCCCCTAGATCAGGTACCGGTACACCAAAATTACTACCCTATTTTCATTAGTATCCCCTATATCCAGTAAGAAACAAACTAGGAAAAACTTGCTAAAACTGGAGAAGTAAACCATGTGGCTGGTGCTCTATGTCAGAAGTGAAGGTTCCAGAACCATACAAAATTGTATACAATATTGTATACAATACTATACAAGCCAATAGGTTTCTCTATACCTCCCCATACCCTCAGGGCTAAGCAATCTTGCCCTGAAAGATGGCAGGAATCTAGGTACGGGATATCCAGGGAATATACAAAATTTGAGATGCAGAATAATGAACAATATCTCAACTTAGCTACATAGAAAATTGACCTTTTTACAAATGTTTCACATTATACAACTTAATTAAAAATAAACGCAAAAGAATAAGAGCTGAAAGATTATACGACAAGAGAATGAAAAGTAAAAGACTGTAGACTTAACGAAATAAATGGAGGAATAAAGATAATGATGAATAAGTTTAGACTCAGCAAAAAAAAAGTACATAGTATAGCAAAAATAGCAAATTATTAAATGAATAAATAATTGAGAATTGAAATAATTTAAGAAAAACAATGAATTTGAATATATTAAAGAGAACCTAAGAGACACCCAACATAGACAAAAAAAATATGATCCAAATATGGATAGCTGCTGACTGAAAAATAAAACTAAATAAAATGAATATAGATGGAATAAAACTGGAAAATTTTCCTAAAGAATTAAATCCACATGATAAAAAGAGCATACAATTTTTTAAGAAAAGTTTGGGAAACAAACACACACAAAATATATTCCAATTTAAGCAACTGAAATTCAAAAGATAAAAGAAATGAGTCTATAGACAACCAGGCAGAAAAAGGCAACATCAATTAAAAACCAAAAGATAAAACCAACTCCACACAATTCTAAGAAGGAAAAGTAGTAATCTAGGAATATCCTAGGAGACAAGTTTCTATTCATATCTAAAGAATTTTTTAAAATACTGTCAAATTTAAAATTGAGTTTTAGTCAATGACACTAATGAACCATTCTTGAAGAAAAATAAGCTACTTTCCATTTTTCTAAATGGCAATTAAAAATTAAAAACAAACACAAGAACGAACAGTTATTGTAGGAGTGTGTCTAAGAACTGACTCCTTAAATATAGAACCTTGGCTAGACAATCGTGGAACTGTGTGAATGTGATCATGAAAAGGGATCTCAGCTGACAAAGTAAAAACATTGTATTTAAAAAAAGAGATGAGTGAAAGGAGGATGAAATTTTATAGCAGAGAATCACTCAACACAGAGTAAAATTTAAGGTTGTCATCATTATACTCTTTCATGTCTTTATTAATCTTAGACGAGCACTGAAATAAAACTTTACAGTAAAGAAAGTTGTATATGAATTCCAATAATTTCTTCTTTTCATTTCACTTTAATTTCATTGTTTAAATTAAAGTTAACAGACATATATTTTCTCATGTCTCATTATAGTATTTCTATCAAGCATTTTCTCTAACCTTCCATCTAAAGATAGGCATATAAAAATATCAAGAATTATATACCCTTAATATCAGTGAGGATTATTTTGGTGACGTTTCTTTTTACTTTCTCCATTGCATTGTTCTAATTATGTATAACAAATAACTACCATTTAAAGAAAAATGAAGTACAGTTTTCCTAAAACTATAATTTTTCACATAATTAAAACAGCAACATAATTTTATATAATAGTTATAGGAATTTTACTGAGTATGTAAAACTAGGTTTATAAAATTTGAGGAACTTAAATCATTTGAAATAGATCTATGGAGCAAATCCGAGTTTCTGAAAGAGTATTAAGCCGAAGTAAAAATTCAATATGTGATGAAAGGGCATTTCAAAACAGTAAGAAAAGGATAGCTTATTCAATAAAATATTGAAATCTATAAGTCTGTCATAAAAAGTAGATCTCTAAAACAAAATAACTTACAGAGAGATCAGACTTGTAAACTTTAATAGTTTAAAAATAAGTCCAAGTGTTCATGGAAAATGAAGCACAGGTAGCCAATAAACATTAGAAACAATGATCAAATTCATATATAACTAAAGAAGTGCAAACCTAAACTTCAAAATTCAATTTTCCACCTAAAAGACCCAGAAACATATGATAGTCTATACAGATAGGATATGGTTCAGGAGAAAAGACATTTTCAAATGCTCTTGGTTGAAATATCAATTAGAAAACAATTTGACAACAGCTTTGAAAATTTCAAAATCACACTCTTCAAGTAAGTAACTCTATTTTTAGAAATCTGTCCTTTGGATATACATCACACAAAGATGCAAAGACATCTATGTATACAATACTATTTATTCTTTATGGCATTATTTATAATACAAAACCATGGAAAATAACCTACCTTTGCAACAATGGGAAACTAGGTGAATGAACTGTGGAATATCCAAATGATAAATTATATGACAACCATTAAAAAAAATGAAGTAGGGAAAAATGTGCTGATATGGAATCCTGCCCAAAATAATCCCAGTCTCACAAGATAGTTTTTATTCAAGGGGACATAAACTGAACCACCCAAATGAGCCAGGCCGGTGTAACAAATATGAGGAGCTGACAACACATAAGAAACACAAAATTGCAAAGTTGATGATAAAATAATTAAGGAAAACAAAGCAGAAACTGTTGAGATGGAAAGTACAAGCCTCATCTAAAAGCACAGCCTCTATTTAATAGTTACAGCTCATTGTTACGTAGCATATTTTGTCCAATCATGTAATTATTCAAGAACACTAAAAAATACAGATTTTTCTATGAACTCTTCCTAATGTAAACAGTGGCAACTGCTTCAAAATACTTAAAATACTTACCTAGACAAACAAACTAGATATGCAGGCCTGATGGAACACCATATGCAAACTCTTTAAATCATATGAGAAAATGTTGTGTGTATGTGTGGTTTTTTTAACCTCTTCCAGATATCAGTCAGCTATACTTCTTGGAATATGGAAATGCTAATCCATATTAAATTATATAAGTAATAACAGGCAATAAAATGATCAAACAATGTGGAACAATCAACAAAACAAAAATTGAACTTAGGGTAAAAGATATACACACACATACACCCTCATAATAAAAGGAAAACTACTGATTTTCCAAAAAGGTATAACATTGGGAGGGTAAACAAATGTAATCATTTTACTTTCAATGTTGGTATAATACCTTACGATAAACTTTTAGATTTATGTAAAGTTTAAGTTTAAAAAATAATCATTTTCTAAAAAAGTTTCTTAAAGTATTTTCAAATGTCCCATTTAGTAAAATTTCAATGGAAACACGATTATAGCATTATATTACTTTAAGTATCTTGACTTCCCTCAAGGTCAGCCCTACAGCTTCTGATACAGAAATACACATTGCACTTTGAAATCACTTTGGCTCAAAAAGGAAAATGCCTGAGGATACAGCAAGCTCATCATGCCTGTGCCCTCTCCTACTATAGTCATCTCTCTTAATATTTTGCTATGAATTTAGAGGATATTTAAAAACTAGGTCAAATTTTTGGTAACCAAGAAGATAAAATGAAATTAGTATAGGAACTAGCATTTTGTAAAGATACAAAGAACTGTTACAAAAATTATCAGATGTGACCTCTATATCAATGTTTTAAATCCTCTGTTACATAGGAAGAGACAGAGGCAAACATAAATAAATAAATTGTCCAAGATCAAGAAGGTAATAAGCAATAAGGACATCACATCATTAATCACAAAGGGTAGATTTCAAGTTAAATCTCAAATTAAAAGTCATATTTCACTTTTAAAGAAAGTTATTTATGTTTTACTCTTAAGGTAATTAATCTTGTAATTCTATTTAATCTTATAATTATATTTAATTAATTTAATCTTATAATTAAGAGAATCAGGGGTAGCTGATATTAGCTTTACTTACAGAAATAGTCTACTTTCAAGTCCAGACTCACATACACCATATGTGACTCTGAACAAGTCCCTTCATCTCCTTTTTCCTGATTTTCTTAACACATTAACTGGGGGCTCGAGGGAACCTCACAGATTGTAAGGAATCAATGAAACACAGTAGGAGCATTCCCCACAGCGTTCAATAAATGGTAGCTGGAACTTTTCTCCACCTTGAAGTGGTAACACTATAGTGTACTTCTACTTTATCAATTTTCTTTTACTTATTACACTTGCTTAGATTTTAAAACACATATTAGCTATTA